ACATGGGGAGCACGGGGATGGTACGTATATATGGGGAGCACGTGGGGTTTGTGCATACGCGGGGAGTATGGGGTAAGTATTGGTGGGAGCACAGAGGTGTGAGCCGATGTGTGTGTAAACAGGTTGGGTGAGCAAAGGGTTGTTGTACACAGAATGATTAAGGACACAAGGGGTTTGAGCAAAAGGGCGTGGAGGGCTTTTGCCTTGGAGGAGGCAGTGCACGTTGGGGAGGCTGTACCTTGGTTGGCAGCTGTGCTCTGGGGCAGCATCTGTGTCCGGGGGATGGCTGTGTCGGTGTGGTATTGTGGCAGTGGGGTACTGTGCCCTGGCGATGGTCTGTGACTGGTAGGGTCTCTACCTTTGGAGTTCGGCTGTCCATCCATCGCGCTGTGTCGGGTTGGGTGCTCTGTGGAGGGACTGTCCTCAGAGATTTCTCTGTTCCCTGGAGGGGTGGCTGTGACCAGTGTCATGGGATGAACCAGTGGTTGGGTCTGTGCAGTGGGGAGGTGTCGGTGGGCCCTGGGTTTGTTTTGTCTGTGAGGGCTCTACCGGGCGGCAGGTGTAGGAGTTTTGCAGGGATTGAAGATCGCTGTACCTAGTGGGAAATCTGTGCCCTCCTTGGAAGCGGGAGGGAAAGGTAGCGCTGTGGCCGAGGAGGGCGCCGCTGTACCTGAGAATTAGCTGTCGGAGATGGGAGTAGCTGCTGTTACCTGGGATGGGTTTGTACCAGAGAGAACAGTCTTTGTCTGGATCTTTCTATAACTGGGGTCGTGCTTCTCTGTGTGGGGTCTGTGTACTCTGGGGGTTTAGTTATTCCCTGTGGACGATTGCTGTGCCCGAGGGGAGGTCTTCTGTTTTTTTTTCTAACGACTGTGCCTTGTCGATGGGGTCTGTGCCTTGGGGTGTGGTTCTGCTCTGGCGCTGTGTGTGGTGGCTTTGTCCTCGGGGCGATGTGCTTTGGCCGGCGATGGGGTTGTGCTCGTGTCTGTGCCTGGGTTCGTTCGTGTTTTGTGTGATGGTGCATTGTATGCGTCCGCGCCTCCCCCACACCCCCGTACACACATACACGTACATTCAATAAAGAAAAAGCGATCTATTAAATCGATCATAAAACAAAAATATCTGCATCTGTGTATCTGCCAAAGCGCAATAAACAAATGATGTAGAACGATTTTTACCTCTTCGTGCAGGTCTTGTTTGTTTCAAAGTCGTGGGCAATACCTATCCTTGGTGAGCTACACTTAAAGATAACTTTAATGAAGCTCCAAAATATGATGTGTGGATAATATTCCGCAATGAGTTAGCGACAGAGCAAAATCACTCACTATCCTTTCAGTAACACATGCGCATTAATGTATTCTGTAGCAAAGCAGTAAATCACTGCCATAATTTTGGGGGAATCTCCTATCCTTATATAAATTATAATAATCTTTAATAAAGTATTATAATATAATATTATATATAATAATATAAAAGCTCTATCCTTCTGTTTCAAACGCAGCTGTAACCGTTATATCTTGCGGTGGAATAAATTGTTAATATCATTGCTGATACCCGTGTTTTGGACTGCATGTAGCTAACAGTCATTGAAAACATTATAATGATTATTACTGTTGTTGTATTGTTTACCATCCAGAAGCCCTCCTGAGGTGACATGCATCTTGTAATGTATAATTCCAGATTACGTTCAATACACTGCGTGATGTCTTAGAGTGATTGTGAGGCAGATGTTTTTCCTTTTGGCAGATGGTTTGAGGCTGGTGAATGGCGGCAGCCCGTGTGCCGGGAGAGTGGAGGTTCACCACGATGGACAGTGGGGCACAGTGGATGGCCTTGGCTTTGGTGACTATGGTTGGGATATGGCGGACGCGGCTGTGGTGTGTAAGGAGTTGGGCTGTGGGGCCGCGCTGTCAGCATCAGGAGACGCTCACTTTGGCGAAGGCTCAGGTCCCGTTGTGACGTACAATGTTCGGTGCAGAGGGAGTGAGTCAACTCTGAGGGGCTGTCAGTCACAGCCCTGGAAGGACTATTCAGTGTACGGGTACTCACACTCCTTTGATGCCGGCGTCATCTGTTCAGGTAAATAATTCAGTCTTCGATCATTTTTCTTTTCTCATGTTTTCCGTAAACTACGGATCGAGAAGCATGGTGAAAGATTGTATCCCACAATATCTTAGTTTATTATTAAATCGGAGTGGAGAGGTTGCGCTCATAGCCCTGCGATCAATTTTCCAAATCCAATTCCAATGATGCCGACGTCATTTGCTCAGTTAAATTAGTGTGTGTCTGAGAATAACCACGTGCTCGCGGTGTGTGCGAGTTGTGAGCAATGGGTGGATGGGGAGGTGAGCACAGGGGTTGAGCATTGAGGGTGAGCACAAGCGAGTGCGTGTAGTGGAAATGCGTACAGGATGGGTGAGCACAGGGAGGCTGAGCACAGTGGGTGAAAAATGGCAGGAGCACAGGTTGTGAGCACAAGGGGATTGAGAAAATGGAGGGTAACACATTGGTTGAGAACAAGTGTACCGAGCAAAGGGGGATTTAGCACATTGGATGGGAATGAGCACAGAGCAAGTCTGCTGAGCACAGGGGATTTTGGTGTTTAGCACGTGGGGACAACAGGGGGGGTTGAGGACGATGACGTGTGTACTGTGAGCTGAACAGAGTAGGGGATGAGCACAGAGCCGGTGGTGATCACGGTGGTTTGGTTAAACGAGTGGGGTAAGATGGAAGCGGTTCTGGGGATAGCACAAAGAGAGATTGTGCCCAAAGCTGCTGAGAACCGAAGTTTTGAGGTCAAGGGACTGAGCACAACGTGGAGCACATGAAGTTATCAGGATGGAGGGAGCAGAAGGAGGGAGCGCACGTGATGAGCACAGGGCTTGACAACAGGTGCTGAGCAAATGTAGAGGATGATAACAGTATTGAAGAGCACAGTTGTTCACGAGCAAAATGCTGGGTGGAGCACATGGGGAGCACGGGGGTGGTACGAATATACGGGGAACACCTGCGGTTTGTGCATTCGCGTGGAGTATGGGGTAAGTATGGGTGGGAGCACAGAGCTGTAAGCCGATGGGTGTGTAAACAGGTTGGGTGAGCAAAGGGTTGTTGTGCACGGAATGAGTAAGGACACAAGAGGTTAGAGCAAAAGGGAGTGGAGGCCGTGTGCTCTGGGGGAGGTTGTGGACGCTGGGGAGGCTGTACCTTGGTCGGCAGCTGTGCTCTGGGGCAGAAGCTGTTTCCGGGAGATGCCTGCTTCTGTGTGGGTTTGTGGCAGTGTGGTACTGTGCCCTGGGGATGGTCTGTGACTGGTAGCGGGCTGTACCTTTGGAGTTCGGCTGTCCATCCATCTCGCTGTGTCGGGTTGTGTGCTCTGTGGAGGAACTGTCATCTGAGGTATCTCTGTACTCTGGGTGAGTGGCTGTTCCTGTGGGGGCTGTACCATTGTGGGGGCTTGTGACCAGGATTAGGGGATGAACCTATGGTAGGGTCTGTACCGTGGGGAGGGGTCGGTGTGCATTGGGTTTGTTTCGTCTGTGAGGGGTCTACCGGTTTGCAGGGGTGGGGTTTCTGCAGGGGTTGAAGATCGCTGTACCCATTTAGGAAGCTGTGCCCTCCTTGGAAGGGGGAGGGGAAGGTAGCGTGTGCCCATGGAGGGCGCCTTTGTACATGAGAATTAGCTGTCGGAGGTGGGAGTATTTGCTGTTACCTGGGAGAGGTTTGTACCAGGGAGAACGGTCTTTGTCTGGATCTGGCTATACCTGTGGTCGGGCTTCCCTGTGTGGGGTCTCTGTACATTGGGGGTTTGGTTATTCCCTGTGGACGGTTTCTGTGCCCGAGGGAATTCTTCTCTTTTGTATTGTAACGACTGTGCACTGTCGATGGGCTCTGTGCCTTGGGGTGTGGCTGCGCTCTGGCGCTGTGGGTGGGTGCTGTGTCCTCCGGGCGAGGTGCTTTGGCCGGAGTTGGTGTTGTGCTGGTATCTGTGCCTGGTTTCGTTCGTGTTGTATACCCCCGTACACACGCACATACATTCAGACAAGAAAAGGCGATCTATTAATGCAATGATTAAACAACAATATCTGCATCTGTTTATCTGCCAAAGCGCAATAAACAATTGATGTAGAACGATTTTTACATCTCCGTGAAGGTCTTGTTTGTTTCAGAGTCGTGGGCAATACCTATCCTTGGTGAGCTACACTTAAAGATAACTTTAATGAAGCTCCAAAATATGATGTGTGGATAATATTCCGTTATGAGTTAGCGACAGAGAAAAATCACAAACTATTCTTTCAGTAACACATGCGCATTACTGTATTCAGTCCCAAAACAGTAAACCACTGCCATAATTTTGGGGGAATCTCCTTTCGCTATATAAATTATAATAATCTTATATAAAGTATAATAATAAAATATTAAGTATAATGATATAAAAGCTCTATCCTTCTGTTCAAAATGCAGCTGCAACCGTTATATCTTGCGGTGGAATAAATTGTTAATATCATTGCTGATACCCGGGTTTTGGACTGCATGTATCTAACAGTCATTGAAACCTTTATAATGATTATTATTGTTGTTGGATTGTATACCGTCCAGGAACCCTCCCAATGTGACATGCACCTTGTAAGTGTATTATCCTGGATTGCGTTCAATACTCTGGGTGATGCCTTGCAGTGATTGTGAGGCAGATGCTTTTCTTTTTAACAGATCGTTTGAGGCTTGTGAATGGCGGCAGCCCGTGTGCCGGGAGAGGGGAGGTTGACCACGATGGACAGTGGGGCACAGTGCATGGCTCTGGCTCTGGTGACAATGGTTGGGATATGGCGGACGCGGCTGTGGTGTGTAAGGAGTTGGGCTGTGGAGTCGCGCTCTCAGCATCAGGAGACGCTCACTTTGGCGAAGGCTCAGGTCCCGTTGTGACGTGGGATGTTCGTTGCAGAGGGAGTGAGTCTATTCTGAGGGATTGTCAGTCACAGCCCTGGGTTGGCTATTCCTGGCCACACACCTATGATGCCGGCGTCATCTGTTCAGGTAAATATTTCAGTCTTCGATCATTTTACTTTTCTCATATTTTCGGTAAACTACGGATCGAGAAACACTTAATTTTTTGTATCCCTCAATATGTTAGTTTATTATTAAATCTGAGTGGAGATGTTGCGCTCATAGCCCTGTGATCAATTTTCAGAATCCAATTCCAACGATGCCGGCGTCATTTGCTCAGTTAAATTAGTGTGTCTCTGAGAATAACCACGTGCCCGGGATGTGTGCGAGTTGTGAGAAATGGGTGTGTGGAGAGGTGAGCACAGAAGGCTGAGCATTGTGGGTGAGCACAACCGAGTGCGTGAAATGGAAATGAGTACAGGATGCGTGAGCACAGGGAGGCTGAGCACAGTGGGAGAAAAATTGCAGGGAGCACATTTTGTGAGCAAAAGGCATTGAGCGCATAGTATCAGCGCATGGTTTTGCAGGACAGGGCTGAATACATTGAGCGATAGCACAGAGATTTGAGCAAAAGGAAATGTTGAGCAAAGTGCGAATAGGCACACGGGGTTTGGGGTGATCACAGTTGGCCGAGAAACATGTCAGCTCAGCAGAGTGCTGTGAGTATATTAGGTGTGAGTAAGTGTTGGATAAGAATGGTTCGATGAGCGCGTTGGGGGAATGAGCAGATGGATTTGAGAACAGGCTTGTTTAGCACAGAGAGTGGAGTACACAAGCGTAAGCTCATCGAAGAGCACACGTGTCGCACAGTTGGTGTGCACATAGAGCGTGATGAGCAAATCAGGGCTGAGAACATGGTGAGCGCAAAGGATTGTGATCTCAGGTTCTGAACGCAATCAGGTTGAGCACAGTCGGGGATTTTTTTTTTTAACTTGGGTGGGGTGAGCACAAAGGCACAGACTGTATGTATTGAGCGCACGGAAGGGGGAGCACAAAGCGGAGTTGAGTATAGGTGTGGCGAATACAGTGGAAAAAGCACGGTGAAGTTGTGCACGCTAGTGGAGTGAGCCCGTTTGATTTTTAGCACAGGGGTCTGAATAAAAGAGGGGTGAGCACCGGATATCAGCCCGGGTAGAGGGAGCAGAAAGTGGGTAGGAGAGTAGTGGGTGAATACAGAGTTGGAGTGCAAAGGGATGTGAGTACAGTGGGGCTGAGCACAGAGTGATGAGGCGAGGTGCACGGAGAGCACGGGGCAATTGGGTGTGCATCAGGGCGATGAGTAGCTGGGTTTAGAGCATGGGATTTTGAGGCCGGGAGGGTAGCTGGTTCAAACAATTTGGGGAGCACAGGAGGTGATAACCGGTTAATGCGTATTGGTGGAGAGCACACCGGGAAGAACAGGGGTTAAACACATTGGGTCGACCACAGGGTTAATGCACATGGGTGGGTGTGAGCACAGGATGGAAACGTACAGGAGAAGTGGAGCACAGCATGAATAGGAACAGTTGGCTTGAGCACATTGGAGAGCAAATGGGGTGAGCAGAGGTGGAGCACTTGGAGGGCATACCCAGGCGAGGAGCACGAAAGGGCGAGCAGAGGTGGGTGAGGAAAGGCGGGGAGGAGAGCCACATGAAGCGTAACAAAGAGGGAGTGTGTACGTTGGGGATCTAAAGACTGGGTGTAGTCATATTGGGGTTGAGCACATTCGGTGGAAAGAGCGCGCAGTTTAAGAGCAGAAGGTAGAGGATTGAGTACAAGTGGAGGTGAGCACAGGCGGAGAACATAGTGGTATGATTCTGGTGCTGAATACACGGGAGGTAATCACAGAGCAGTGGGCAACACAGGAGACTTAATGAGGGAGAGGTCATATGGGTGGCGAGCAAATGGTGGGAAGCATAGGAGCATAAATACAAGGTGGAGTAGTACAGAGTCGAAAGAACAGGAGGGTGACAAGTCAATGAGCAGCAGGGTTTGAGCAGACGGAGGGTGACCACAATAGGGGTTCAGCACAAGAAGTGAGTGCATAGCCGGGAAGTGAGCACGTGTTGGTTGAGTTTAGGTGGGTGTGTGCACAGGGGGCTGAACACAATAAGACTGAGCACATGGTGCGCAAGAACAGGGAAGTTGGAGAACATGGTGGAGTGGAAGGCGAGAGAGGAGCTAAAGCGAAGTGAGTGCAGGCGATGAGTAGAGATGGAGCTGAGTACAGTGGGGCAAAGCACAGGGATTGAGCACAAGGGTAAACTGAGAGAACCCGCGTGCGAAATACATTGGGAGTGATTACAGCGGTTTGAGAAACATAACTTGAGCATCGGGTGAGCGGATTGGGGAACACTGGGGCAGAACACAAGGGGGAGAACCAGGAATTGCACACGGTGGGGTGGAGGGGGGTGGGGGTTGAGCATAGGAGATCAGTGTACTGGCTATAGAAGATAAAGTGTGAATGAGCAGTGCGGATTCAGCACCTTGTGCAGCAACAACAAATGGGCGGCGGTTGGGGTAATCAAACGGAGCGGTTATCACAGGAGGATGAGCAGAGTGTGTGGGAACAGGAAGCGTACGCATGGTGGGGTTGAGGACAGGGGCTAAGAGCAAGTTGTGTAAGAGCACAAGCTAGTTGAGTACAAGTTTGTTGAGCAAAAGTGGGATCAGCACAGGGAGAGGGCACAGGGGCTTGAGCACAGGTGGGGTGATGTCAAAACGCGAGGTATTCACAGGGCGTGGGGAACACAGAAGAGTGAAATCAGGGGGTAATCAACGGCATAGACCAGTTGGGCCGCATGGACTGTTTCTGTGCTGTATATTCTAGTGTATTCTAAGGCCTACCCAGTTTCACAGCTTCACTCTTAACCCAATGTGACACGTCCTCGGCTCACCCCTTGTCACACATCCTCTCCTAACCGATTTTCCCACCTCCGCTGCTGAACCAGTGCCACAACTACTCTGCTAACCCAGTGTAACACCTTCGCAGTGTGATGGTACAGATGTTGTTAATTGTATGTATGATTCAAGTTGCAGCTGTGGAAAGTGTATTGTATGCACATGGCAGTGGGTAAGCACCCCAGACTGGTGAATGGAGAGAGCCGGTGTGCGGGGAGAGTAGAGCTATACAGCAATGACACTTGGGGGCAGTTTGTGGAGACACCCTGAGCATGAACATTGCTGGAGATATTAACAATTATTTGGTATGTGGATTTCCTGTAACAGACTCAGGTGACGCTCGCTTTGGAGAAGAATCGGGGCCTGTGTTTGGTCGGCTTGACTGCGGACACAAACTGGACGGCGGCATATTCTGTTCAGGTGTAGACCACAATTACAACAACTCTCCATTGATATGGGTAGAGGTGGGGTGGGGGGAGTAGGGCCAATGGAATATTAATTTGGGGATTGTTGGCAAAGTCACCAGGAAAAGAATCCCTTCCGTTATTGAATATCGTCATGAGATTTGTTACCACCACCTGAACAGGCAGTCAAGGCTACATGCAACTCCAGCTGAAACCGACCCCGAGCTGAAACCGACCCCGAGCTGAAACCGACCCCGAGCTGAAACCGACCCCGAGCTGAAACCGACCCCGAGCTGAAACCGACCCCGAGCCGAAACCGACCCCGAGCCGAAACCCACCCCGAGCCGCAACCCAGCCCGAGCCGCAACCCAGCCCGAGCCGCAACCCAGCCCGAGCCGCAACTCAGCCCGAGCCGCAACTCAGCCCGAGCCGCAACTCAGCCCGAGCCGCAACTCAGCCCGAGCCGCAACTCAGCCCGAGCCGCAACTCAGCCCGAGCCGCAACTCAGCCCGAGCCGCAACTCAGCCCGAGCCGCAACTCAGCCCGAGCCGCAACTCAGCCCGAGCCGCAACTCAGCCCGAGCCGCAACTCAGCCCGAGTTCAGATTGACCTGAGCTCAAACTCAGCCCGAACTCACATTATACTGAACCCCAGCTCACATTGAGCTCGAGCTCACACTGACGCGTATACAGAATCGAGTTCACAATGACCCCAAACTGATTCTGACCCTCGAGCTCACGCCGACCACGAGCTCAAACTATCCGCGAAATCACACTGACCCTGAGCTCAGTTGACCTCGAGCTCCAACGGAGCCCGAGCACACGCTACACTGACCTCCATCTTATACTGACTGTCCAGCTTACACTGCAACCCGGCTCACACTGACCCTCGAGCTCTCAGTGACCCCGAGCTCACAGTGAGCCACAACTAACACTGAGACCGAACTCACAATAATGAAAGCTTACGCGGAGTCCGAGCTCACACAGACCCCAAGCACATATTATTATCGGAGCTCACATTGACCAGGAGATCCTGCTGGCTCCGAGCTCACACAGACCCCCTGAGCTCACATTGACTCCCGAATCACACTGACACGGAGCTCAGAGAAATGCTGACCCCAAAATCAAAATATGGTTTATCTGTCAGTTTACAGCTTACTGTGACTTCGCATTAACCCCGATTTCACACTGACCCTCAGATCACAAAGACACTGACTCCAAGCTAACACTGACTCCGATCTCACAGAAAGACTGACCAAACATCAATGAATATTTCAATACGGAAGAATTGCAGCGTCAAATCAAAACACGTAGTTGGAACAACCCACATTTCTGCCTCGTGTTCAACCTCAGACAGAAACAGTCTCACAGGGTGAGGCTGGGCTTATTGTCGACACTGATGTTCACTGTCACAGAACAGATCAGAGTGAGTGTTTGTGAGACTACCTTTACTGTGTTTTAATTTCAGATCCACTTCAGAAAGCCATCATTTCCCTGAAGCCAGATTCCCGGTTCTTTGTGAGAGGGGAAAGCGCTCAGATCTCATGTTCTGGGAATTATCCAGGCAGCATATTCTCTTTATATATAGACGGCAAGTTTTTCACATCACGGACAGCTCCGGAAAACATCCAAACGGCAAATTTCGCCCTATCGGATTTCAGTGCAGGAAATTACACGTGTAAATATACTACACATATAGACGGACGAAAGTTCACATCCCCAGAGAGTGAAGGAGTGGGAATCTATTTGTGGGGTAAGATCTGAGTAAGATTTTACATAATAACCTGTTTGTGTTTCTCTCCCGAATCTGTTAAATGGCCGTTCGTTGCCGCTGGTTTATAATAGCCTTGATCACAGATGCACCCTCCAACTACCACTGTCCCCCATCCCGCAAACCCACTCATCCTAACACATGTACCAAACGCTCAATGACACCAGTCTGCTTCAATTCCTCGCTTTCCCCCTGAATTCATTTCACACTTCCTATTTCCCAACCCTTTATTACTTCTATTCCTCATCCGCACGTACATTCTATTCCTTGCATCCCCACCCTCTATTTCTCCCAGACACTGACTCTCTCCCACAGCCTCACTCCCTCCCACACCTTTTAATCTTCTCTCCCTCCTATGAAAGTCTTGCTGCCTCTTGAATGTGTTTATACTGTCTGATTCCAATCCCGCTTAAGTCAACGATTCCCACCATCTCACTACACTGTGTGAATGTCGTCGCTCCAACATTTTCTGTTTGATCCCCTGGATGTGATCGTATCCTGTTATTTAAATACGTATGAAGGTCAGTTGAGAGTTTCTGTCTGCATTCCCGGTCAAACGTCCCTGGCTATAGCTTTGTGGTACATCAGGCCACGGCCTGAATGCCCTCGATGGCCTCCCCAGTGCCAGCCGTTGACCCCTCCCTAGGTTTAAAGAAACATATGCTCGGGCCTGTCCTGAAACTGTCGCTTAACCCGTGCCTCTCCCAGTCTTCATGATGATTCCTTCAGGCTGAGAAATAAGCAAATAGACAGTTTTCGTCTGAACTGAACTGTTTTCATGTCACGGAGCGAGTGTTTGTGAGATTACATTTACTTTAATTCCAGAACCGCTCCAGAAACCCACCATTTCCCTGAAGCCAGATTCACGGGTGTTTGTGAGAGGGGAAAGCGCTGAGATCTCATGTTCTGGAAATTATCCAGGCAGTAATTTCTCTTTATACAGAGAAGGGAAGTTGATCTCATCACAGTCGGCTCCTGAGAATAACAACACGGCAACATTCGCCCCATCGGAGATCAGTGCAGGAAATTATTGGTGTAAATATGCTAAACATCTAGACGCACGCGAGCTCACATCACCAGAGAGCGAACGAGTGGGAATCTCTTTGCGGGGTAAGAGCGAGATCTTGAACTCTCTCATCAGTGGGCATTCACTGTCGCCTAGTGTCCAGTCACTGCGATCATATCACGCCTCCGCCCCATCCTCACTTTACTTTATCTAATGATGGAATCATACAGCACAGAAGTAGGCAAATTTGCCAATCGTGCCTATGCCAGCTCTTCTTAAGTGGCTAGCCGATTAAATCCCACTCCCCAACTTTCTCGCTACAGCCCGAGAAAATTGTCCTCCCCAAATAAATATCTTATTTAACTAGCTTTTTTACACGAGATTATCTGCATTGCACCCTTCCTCCATCAAACTGATTCCCTCACCTCCAACAGCACGCATCCTTCCTCACTTTCACTGCCTCACTCAAACGTTTTTCCACCCACGCTCACAAACCCTGATATCCTCGCACAGCCTTATTGCCTTCCACAAACTATATTACTCCCACAACGTCTGTTTCTGCCTCAAAATTCCTGACACCTTCCAAAACCTCCTATTTCCCTATCGCTCATTGCATCGCACACTCCCACTGCCTTCAAAATCCTTTATGTTCCTCTCACTCATGTGAAGGTGTGATTAGGTCTGGAATGTTTCCAGATTATCTGATTTAATCCTAGCTTCAGTTAGCGAGTTCCACAATCCATTTCCCTCTGTGTGAAGTCGATGCTACAGAATTAAGTTTGATCCGCTGGTTGACATCCGACGCTGTTGTTTAAAACACTGCTGAAAATCACATGAGCTGTTCAGATTAAATTACCGTTCTCCCGTCTCATGCTGTAGCTGTTAGTTAGTTGCCCGGCCTCACTGCCCTCTGTGGGCACTCCGCTCTCAGCCATTGTGCCCCCTTCCTCTGTCTAAAGAAACGATTGCTTGAGTTTGCCCTGAAACTGCCCCTCAAAACGTTCACCTCGTCCAGACACCTTCACCAGGCTGGGGAAGAAGCAAATGGTCATTTATGCTATAAACTGAAACGTGTCTATCCACAGAGCGAATGTTTGTGAGATGATCTTTACTGTTTTTAATTCCAGATCCGCTCCAGAAAGCCAAAATTTCGCTGAAGCCAGATTCCCGGGTGTTTGTGAGAGGGGAAAGCGCTGAGATCTCATGTTCTGGAAATTATCCAGGCAGTAATTTCTCTTTATACAGAGAAGGGAAGTTGATTTCATCACAGTTCGCTCCTGAGAATAAAAGCACGGCAACATTCGCCCCATCGGAGATCATTGCAGGAAATTATTGGTGTAAATATGCAAAACATCTAGACGCACGCGAGCTCACATCACCAGAGAGCGAACGAGTGGGAATCTCTTTGTGGGGTAAGAGCGAGATCTTGAACTCTCTCATCAATGGGCATTCACTGCCCACTAGTGTCCAGTCACTGCGATCATATCACGCCTTCGCCCCATCCTCACTTTATTTTATTTAATCATGGAATCATACAGCACAGAAGGAGGCAAATTTGTCAATCTTTCCTTTGCCAGCTCTTCTGAAGTAGCAAGCCGATTAAATCCCACTCCCCAACTCTCTCGCTACAACCCTGGAAAATTTTCCTCCCCAAATAAATATCTTATTTTACTAGCTTTTTTACACGAGATTATCTGCATTGCTCACTTCCTCCATCAAATTGACTCCCTCACTTCCAACAACACGCATCCTTCCTCACATTCACTGCCTTTCCACCCTCCTTCACAAACCCTGATAACTTGCCAAAACCTCATTGCCTTCCACAAACTCTATTACTCCCACAACGTCTGTTACTCCCTCCAAACTCCTGACACCTTCCAAAACCTCCTATTACCCTGTCGCTCATTGCATCGCACACTCCCACTGCCTTCGAAATCCTATATGTCCCACTCACTCAGAAGAAGGTGTGATTAGTTCCGGAATGTATCCAGACTATCTGATTTAATCCTAGCTTCAGTTAGCGAGTTACACAATGCCACTTCCCTCTGTGTGAAGTCGGTGCTCCAGAATTAAGTTTGCTCCGCTGGTTGACATCCTACGCTGTTGTTTAAAAAACTACTGAATATCACACGAGCTGTTCAGGTTAAATTCCCGTTCTCCCGTCTCATGCTGGAGGTGTTAGTTAGTTGGCCGTCCTCACAGCCCTCCGTGGGTACTCCGCTCTCAGCCGTTGTGCCCCCTTCCTCTGTCTAAAGAAACGATTGCTGGAGTTTGCCTCAAACGGCTCCTCAAAACCTTCACCTCGTCCAGACTCCTTCACCAGGCTTGGGAAGAAGCAAATGGTAATTTATGCTACAAGCTGAAACGTGTCTATCCACAGAGCGAATGTTTGTGAGATGATGTTTACTGTGTTTTAATTCCAGATCCGCTCCAGAAAGCCAAAATTTCGCTGAAGCCATATTCCCGGGTGTTTTTGAGAGGGGAAAGCGCTGAGATCTCATGTTCTGGGAATTATCCAGGCAGTAATTTCTCTTTACACGGAGAAGGGAAGTGGATCTCATCACAGTTCGCTCCTGAGAATAACAACACGGCAACATTCGCCCCATCGGAGATCAGTGCAGGAAATTATTCGTGTAAATATGCTAAACATATAGACGCACGCGAGCTCACATCACCAGATAGCGATCGAGTGGGAATCTCTTTGTGGGGTAAGAGCGAGATCTTGAACTCTCTCATCAATTGGTATTCACTGTCCCCTAGTGTCCAATCACTGCGATCAGAGCGAGCATCCTCACTTTACTCTATATAATTCTAGACCTATACAGCACAGAAGGAGGCCATTCGGTCTCTCGACCCTATGCCGGCTCTTCGAAAACAGCTAGCCAATTCAATCCAACTCCCCTGCTCGCTCCGTACTCTCTGTTCCACAACCTGATACCCTCTTACACCTTGATATCACCCCACATCTGCATTGCCTACCGCAAACTCTGTTAATTCCACAACGTCTGTTCCTAACTCCCACCCCTTGGTACCCTCCAATAGCTTCTATTCGCCTCTCCCTCAATCCATCCCACACCACCTCTCCCTTCAAAATCCACTAGTCCCTTGTCACTCACGTGAAGGTCTCTCTACATCTTGAACGTATCTAGACTATCTGATTGAATCCTACCTTGAGGCTTGTGAGATCCAAAATCTCAATTCCCTCATTGAAAAGTCGATGCTCCTGAATTCTCTGTTGGATCTTCTGGTACTGATTTTATTCTGTTGTTTAAAATACGCCTTACTATCACACGAACACTTCAGATTAAATTCCCGTTCTCCCTTCCCAAGCTGGAGCTCTGTGTTGTACATTCGCTGGTCCCATGGTGTTCCCTGGCTCCTCCGCTCTCAGCCGTTGCTCCCCTCCCTCTGTGTAGAGAAACACTTGCTGTAATCGGTTCTGAACCTGCTCCTCAAAAAATGTAGCTCTTAATTACGCCTCCTCAAGGCTGTGAAACAAAGAAATACTCACCTTTACTCTGAACTGAGCAGTGCCAGTGTCTCTTTCACAGAGCGATTCTTTTATGAGATAATCTTTACTGTGTTTTAATTCCAGATCCGCTCCAGAAACCTACTATTTCCGTGAAGCAAGATTCCCGGGTGTTTGCGGAAGGGGAGAGCGCTGTGATGTCATGTTCTGGCAAATATCCTGGCAGCAAGTTCTCTCTGTACAGAGACGGCGAGCTTATCTCATCACAACCAGCTCCAGAAAATAACCAATCGACCACATTCACCCAATCGGACATCAGTGCAGGAAATTACTGGTGTAAATATACTGCACACATAGAGGGACGAGCGATCACATCACCAGAGAGCGATCGATTGGCAATCTCTGTGCGGGGTAAGAGCGAGAGCCTGCACCCTCGCCAACCAATGGTAACTTACTGCCCCCTAGTGTCTATTCACCGCGATCACAGCACGCCTCCGCCCCAACCTCCCACTGCTTTATAGAATCACAGAATTGTTAGCATGGCAGGAGGACATTCAGTCCATCATATTTGTGTCGTTTCTTTGAAAAGAGCTATCCGATTCAATCCCACTCTCCCGCTTCTCTCCTCTCTCTCTCTCTCTCTCTCTCTTTCTCTTTCTCTCCGCAAACTTTGCATTTCCAAATAATTATCGTCATTCCCTGTCTTTGTGACGTGAGTCAGTCCCCATTCCTCCCTTCCCACTTCCCGCTGAGTACTTCGTTGCCTCCCACACACAGCCTGCCGCACCCTCTCTCCCTCCCAGAAGCTTTCCACCCTCCGTCACATATACTCATACCCTCACATACCATGAAACGCTCCTACACACTTATTGCCTCACACACCCTCTGTTACTCCCACACCATTTATTTCTCCATCCCATCCACTAAACAACGCCCAAATGTTCTAATCCCCTCTTCGTCATTCCATCCTACAGTCCCACGCAATTGAAAACTCTTAGTCCACTCTCCCTCAAGTGAAGTTCTCAATGAATCTAGAATATCTGATTCAATCCTAGCTTCAGGCAGCGATTTCCACCATCTCATTTCCCACTGGTGAATCTCTTGCTGCTTAAATCTTTTTTGTATTGCCTGGTTATCATCTGTCACCCTCTTCCCCTCTCCCACATTTTTTGCGCCACTCTCCCATCCCCTCCTCTGCCCTACACCACCATTCCCCACTCCCACTCTATCCCAACTCTCCACGTCCCTCCCCCACCTCCGTCTACCTTTTCCCCCACTTGCTAAGCTCAAGCCCCTCTTGTATCATATATCGCGTTGATGCTTGTATTTCGGTGAGTGCCAAAAGCCAGTATTTGAGTAGAGGTAAATGCTAGTGTTTTTCTTGCTAAACGCATAAAACATGTCATTCAGATGGAGCGATGTCCGTCCATCACTCCCGCTGGTTTTCATCTCGGACAGGGGCTGAGAAGAATGACTCTCTGCCCCCATTGACTTGTCTGCCCATCCAGATCCTGGCCATGGCCCAGCCTGGGCTTTTATGCCAAAAGCAGTGATTGCACCGGGATAGTCG